TTGGTGATGTGAAATTGAAGGCAACAAGCTCTACCACTATAACAACCCATTAGGAAAGCATAGCATTTTAAGCAGCCTGGAAGAGAAGAAGTAGTCCAACTCCTGTGCATTGACAGGCTTGCAGCCTGAAGTTGCTGCCATAATCTCTCCCAATCTGCCCATCACCTCTAAGTGCAGAGCGCATTCCAAATTCTCCCAGGCCAGGTCCTCTGGACATGTGTTGCTGACTTTGCAGTTCTTTAGTGCACTGGTTCTTATTAATTTGTCAAAACTGTAGCCAAGTAAAAGGAAATGGCACTTATCTAAATTGTAGCCCAAAGGTTTTCCTTGGAAGCAGCTGCAAAATTTATCCACTCTTTAAAATGTTCCTAGCCCCACCATCATTTCTCTCTTGGGTCTTGCTATGGCCACCAAAATCTCTAACCAGGTGAGTGCTTTAATGTGTCTCTTGAGCAGGGGTGTGTGCAGGGCTCCCTGCCAGAACCCTGCTCTCCCTCCCACACACCTGTCTGGTTGCTGCTGCTCCTTCAGCCTGCCTGGGTATGTTTACTCTATGGCAGCATCATGTCCTAGCCTGGATGTTACAGAGGATTTCCCACAGCAACATACTGGTGAAGCAGCTCTGGGCTTGTTCCTTGGGGCTGCAAGCTGGAATCCTGTTCTTAAAAGGTCTTGAGAACAGGTGCAGGGGGACACCCTAGCATCACCTCACTGATGTGGTTCTGGGTTTGGAGCATACAAGTGCAAGTGGGAAGATGGAGCTTGCTCCTTAGCATATTGGCTGGGACACCCTACTGCCCCAGTGTAGACAGCATACCCACAGTCTTCAGCTGAATCTTAGAACAAAACTGCACTTCTTAGAGAAGATTGGCCATCTTGGGGGAAGGGAGGCTAGTCTCTCTTCCAGGCTTCACTGTTCAGCCTATCATTGTATGTCTTTGCCTGCCTCTTGTGTCTCTTACAATTAATGTTGTCTTACAAAAAGCTCTTCTGATATTCTAGATGCATTATTGTGGTGTGCACACTTTAATCCATTATTTTGTGTGTTAGTTCTAAGAATTGTAGTGATACAATTTAGCATTATCAAATCCATTCTGGCTTTATTCTATGCACTACTTTTCAAATGTCTCATGGCTACCTTTAATTCTAGTCTGAACGTTTTTTCTTGTAATGCCACTAAGCAGCTGTTAGACAACCTTGAGCAGTAGGTCCTAATCCCACACTAACTCCTTGCCAGCAGCATCCTGCATTCATATGGTGCCCCATTGACTTCAAATAGAAAATTAAACCTGAAAGGCTTTATCCCATTAATAAGTCACCGGGTCACTCTTTCTTTTCAGGCTACTAGGCTGCAATTGCCAGCAGTCAAGAATTAATTCATTTGTCTTAGGCTCTAGAAGATATGGGGCTTTACAATTTAGTCATTGCAGAACCATTTGAAAGGCTTTGCTTAGATTGATCTTAGACACAGATTCCTCTTGCCCCAAGAGACCTGTGACTTGTAGGTCAGTTGGCAAAACACTGGAATTTAGCGATATAATTATTTCCTCTAATAGTCAATATTTAATTAAAAAATAATCCCTATTACAAACCTGTAACTGACCAGGTATACTGGTAATAAATAAGCAGCTGTTTGTTCTGGGGGCATTGCAGGTGCTTAGAGTCTTGGGAGGAAGCATTCAGTACCTGGCAGGATTGGGTCCCCATGAAGCAGAGAAAGGAACAGTTTGGGTTTTTTTTTACCCACGTAGTTTGCTTTTTGTACAATTAGTATCCCCCCCAAATTAATTAAACTCATATCATGGCCAGAAATACACTAAGCGCGTTGTAATCCTGATTGCCATGTGATATAATGACTTCAAACCAGCTTCAGTTTCAGCCAAAAAACAAATGCAGCAGTTGCTGAGTTCAGCCTAGTGAAATTGCGAGCTCTAAGGTACATTGTCTTTTTATGTAATGTGTTTTATTAAACATCTTCTAAAGCTTAAAGTGTCCCCAGGACATAACTCTCCAGCACAAAGTCATGCCTTGCCAAGTAATGAACTATGATTTATGGTGGTAACGGTTATCCCACATTTTTAAAAAAAATTATTACAGCAATAGCTCTGTAGAATATAGGAGTAAAACATGCACCATTTGGCACATTTATGACAACAGTGCTCTGGTTTTCTTAACTCCACAGTTCTATGTTGGCAGTATTTCAAATTCTTGAGACAGATGTTTAAATGAATTTTAAGAGGACAGTGAAATACTTTTAAAACATCATACAGTGTTGAGCGTCTCAATATGAAAAGGAACATTATTTCTTTAACATTCAGGTAGGAAAGGACGCCACATGGCCTATTCTGTTTTAAATCTGGTGGAGGATGATGGAAGTAGCAAACATTGAATTAACTTTGAAGCATCCCCATGTATTATTTATTTTTGGCCAAGGGAGTTTGAGCTTTTTCTAGAATTAGCTCATTATTCACATCAAATCCACATTTGTTTTGAATGCAGTTCCCATCATGTTGATACAGGATTAAGTGGTCTCATGCTAACATTGTGATTGTGTCATTGTGGTCCTGGTGGTTACAGTTTCAGGCCAGAAATGATGAGTATTTGGAAAAATGTAAATTAGAACCCTGCTTACATTTCCGAAAGGCAGATACTGTAAAAACGTTAGCATTGAAGTACTTGAAATTGTAAAAATATTAACAGGAAAGGTATTATTGGCTAAAAATGGGGAGAGAGTGAACTAGTTAAGAAAATATTATATTAACCCTAGCATGGTTATAGGCAGTGCAGAATTATGGAAAGAAATTGGTCTTTCAGGAGAGGCAGAAGTCAGCGTTATTCAAGATGTCATAGATGTTGGTATACCATGTGCTTGTGGCTCAGAGTGGGAATCCAGTCTGACACCAAGTGGCATGTGAAGACGAATAAGACATTGAAGACAATTGAAGCATTAGTAAAGCAACGAACACTTATATTTAATTTACATTTTGACAATTTGCACATAAATAACGATGTAAACCAGTACGTAAACATAAGATAAGTTTGTTGTTCTAGCAAAGTAAAAAGCCTGTTAACTTTGGTCAAAGTTTTTCTTAGAGAGAAATAAAACACTGTTGATTGTTGCTACATTCACATGTAAAAGTTCTAAGGGAAAGGGTAAAAAAGGTAAAGAGAAGTAACAATTCTTAAAGCTGATGCATATAAATCTTTGTGAAATTTGTATCAAATACAAGAAAGCACTACAGGCAATTAATAGGAAAAGTGTGTGTCCAGGGACAGAGTAGTGATACTTTGGTTTATCCTACGGGTGAGTACTATTTTTGTGAACTATTGCTACACTTAAAAGTTGTCAGCTTCATGATTTATAGGAGCAGAAATGTAATGAACTGTTGTCCTTCAAAAATTGTATTTAGAGATTCTCTTCGATTATCTTAGGTTTTTTGGGTTGGTTTGTTTCCTTTTTGGCAGAAGGCATTAGATTGCCATACAAAATCCTGGATTTATGAAGTGGTCTATTTAAATCTAAAAGAATATAAATAGATAAAAAGCTAGAATATATATAAAGGTGATGTGTATAATAATGCTATTTGCTTTCTTGAGAGTTGCCTGTGACCACGTAACTCTTAAGTGGCAGAACAAAATAAGATGTTAGGATGATCCCAAATAACTTTAACTATTTCATTCCACTCTTCACCATTGTGTATTATATTTATACCATGGGTGGGTGATAGTTTGATTTCTTTTCTAGTTCTTTCCTGGTGGTTTGCTTATGACAAGACATATAGCAAGGATATCAAGGGATCCAAGACAGTCTTGCAAATGCTCTGCAGTGAATAAATCCCACTGAATTCTATGAGACTGCACATGTCAGCAAAGTTATTCACGTAAGGGTTTGCAAGATCAGGCTCTAAGTGATCAACTGTGCTGATGTGCCAGCAAGCGCTAAATGCCTTAGCACAGCATTCTGGCTTTGAGGTCATCAGGTGATATGCAAAGCTGGATAACACTTGATTTTCACACTTAGATGAAAAATAGGTTTTATTACATGGTTTGGCTCACAACTTAAGTGGTATAAATATATATACATATACATATATGGTATAGTGGTATAAATATATCTATAAATATACATGTATTCTTTGCTACACCTCAAATGCCAACATGATATCTTTGGGCTTAGCAGAACAAAAAGATAAAAAGATGTGCATTCTATCTTTTCCTGTGCACATTTTGGTTTCTTCTCTAAAGTAGCAAAGCATTAGATAAAAAAACATTTTCTGCACCACTGGACACACGCAATGAGGTAATTGTTGTTCAACAACTTTGCAATGCCCTTTTCATCTTTAATTAAATTAACCACAAAATGTACAAACACAAATACTGAGGAAAATCTAAGTCGTACAGGAAGGGGGGGAAAAAAAAGTGTGCGCCAGGAAAGGACTTCATTCCCCACTTTTGTCCATGGAAAAAGTGGGATGGAAAAAACAAAACAAAACAAAACAAAAAGCAAACCCTTATTTCTCAGGGGAATTGACCATGTTTTGTATCCCTGGAAAGTTCTGGGGAAAAAAACAACAACAACAAAAAAAAAAAAAAAAAAAAAAAAAAAAATCTTTTAGGAACCACTTTGGGATTTTTTTTTTTTTTTTTGGGATTAAAAAAAATTATTCTTTTTGATAGAAAAAAAACAACAACAACAAAAAAATCAAAAAATCCTTTAGGCAGCACATTTGGAATTATTGTATGCTTGTTTCAAGAGGCTTTTGAAAAAAAAACACAGCCACTTTTTCACATTTTCAGTTGATGCATGGCTTTGGGTAATAAAATCTCCTGACATAACATGTGACTACTATTGTTTTCCAAACACCTGACCATTGCATCATTCATGTTAGGCAGGTATTCGCTATGTCATGTGTTGTGGGTAGAGCTGTGGGCTGAGGAATCTCTAGTACCCATACACAGGTAAGTATGATTTTCTTTTCTCTGTTTGCTGCTGCTTTTTCTTTTCTGGGGGATTTTGTATACCTACCCACTCCTGAATGTACACAGCATTTTTCAAGCCAATTGATCTATGACTCAGTATGTCAAATATTCACCTTTGGCAATATAAAAACCATGTTTTTAAAGACATTGGTACATAGAAAAACTTACTGAAATAACTTTTTATCCCCAATCTTAATTTTTTTAAGACAGATGTGCAGAAAAAAATATCTACAAAGAATGGCCATGAAACAAAATATAAACTTTTATACTCAAAATTACAATGATTTTTTCAGTCATTGTAAACATTTTCTAATTATTGCTTTTAGAATGATAAATTGCATAATAAATTATGAAGTACTATAATTGAAAAAATAGTTATGGATAGATGATTGTCTTTTAGTAACTGGGGAGGCAATACATAGTCCTTTGCCTCTTTTCATGCCCTGAGAATATAGTTACTTTGGAGTTCCTTCTTTCAACTGGAGAGAGTGAGGGAAACTACTGTAAGCCATGATTGCTGTGCAGCACTGACACTATATACAAGCAATTGCTACAGGCACCCTGACTTGCCAAGTCATAAATAAAAATCACTTTTTGCCAGAAAAAGTCTTAAGGGTCCATTGGTTCAATTGTTTCTTGCTTGACCTTTATTGGTAACAGAGGTAGTGGATGACCATGAGGCAACTTCATAATGGACATATCTGAAGATTCATAGAGGTTGCATCCTGAGGAGATAAGTCCATTTCCCAGGTTCCTCTGCAATGATACTTTAAGATTAGCTCCTTCTATTTCTCTTCTGAGCATGGTCAATATTTCTTTTTCCACAACTGATGTCATGTCGATATTGTCCTCCATATCTTCCAGCTTGTCAGCATTGTCACTGATGTCAAACTTCTCGATCTCTTCATTGATACGATTTAGATCCTCCACTGAGAGGCCGGAGGCAGGGGCTACTGGGCAGTTGCCCTTCAGGTGGACTTTGAGGCTGCAGAGGTGAATGTAGCTCTTATGACAGTGGACACACTTGTGTGGACGTTCCCTGGTGTGAAGACGCTTGTGCAGCTTCAGATGCACAAACTGGGTGAATTTAGCAGGGCACAACTTGCACTGGTAAGGCTTTTCTCCAGAGTGGAGCCGAAGATGGGTCTTTAGGTTGCTGGTGCTGCTGAATCGCTTGTGGCAAACCTAATTTTGGAGATGACAAGAAGAAATGAGGAATGAGTGTGAGAGTTTTACTTTTAAAATCATAGAGGACATTATGGCATGTTGAAAAAGCCGCCTATCATTACACTCGTACACTTTCACATTTAAAAACCTAAAAACAAACATTCTCAGATTATTTTTTTAATTATGTTGAATAACATTGGGGCTGAAGTTTGTCACAAAGCTGCATCTGGCAGATGGTGTAACAGAGAAGCAGCACAGCCTATGACCTCCCAGTATATGAAGTGCTACATACCTGGCACTCGTGGGGCTTCTCGCCTGTGTGGACCAGATAGTGCTTCTGGAGGTGAGCCAGCTGGGTAAACCCTTTGTTGCAAGTCTGACACTTGAAAGGCCTCTCACCACTATGCACTCTCAGGTGGACCTGTTGCAAAACAAAATATTTATTGAAAATTCCTATAGTCATTAAAAGCCTTGAACAGTTGCAAAAGTTACCAGAAGCATCTAATAGACAAGAATGTTACAGGGAATCATCCAATTACTTTGCAAGGCAACTTCAGCATTACAACTGTCACTTTTACTACTACTGTACCTTTGTGGTAGTGGCTTTCTAAAATCTGTTCCTTAGAGAAGCCTAGGGTTCCCAGATAAAACTACAGAACCAATATGAGCTTTCTTATAGTAACAATTATGAAAAAGATGCGTCTCTCAAAATTAAGCCAATCCTTTAATACCTACCTTCAGATTTGAGAGCTGGCCAAAGGTTTTAGAGCAAACATTGCATTCATATTTGATCTTCCCATTCTGCTTCTTCAGTGGATATGGAAGAGTTTTGTAACCAGTCACGTTCCTCTTACTTTTAATGAGATTCATGGCTTCTTCACTGCTGGTGGCAGCCAACACTGCTGAGGTAGGTTTAGGTTGCATTATATGTTCTGAAGTAGCTGCTGTGCCAGCTTGAGGGGACCCACTTGTGGGGCTGCATGGTTTGTCTTTCATGCTGGCAGCAGCGCCCGTGATGGAAAAGGCACTGTTAGGTGCTGGCATGAGGAAGTCTCTTGGATGATCAGGTTGTAGCAATCTACGGCTTCCTTCAGATGGCAGTGAACCTGGAAGAGCAGCAGGGTTCAGCACATGATGGGACAGGCTGCCTCCACCCAGTATGTTGCCATAGAGAGGATATATCCTTGGGAAGAGATTGAAATTATTGATGCCATTGATATTGTTCAAAGCGCTCAGGTTATTACAGCTCATACTGTATGGAGGTAACAGGAATTTTGGATAGTGGGAATTATAGGAGGATAAAAAGGCTGGAGAGAGATGGCTAGAGGGTGCATATCCAGGATAAGACCCCAATCCTTCTGAGCCATGGGGTCCATTCAAGAAAGGGTAGGATTCTCTGTATTCTTGAGAAGTAGGTGCCAGAGGTGAAACAGTAACCCCTGGACTGCTGTGAGGGCTTGAACTTTTTAAACTTTGGTCTGGGCTGCTCCTTGCTGAAGGACTTGGTGTGGTAGAAGACTGGATGGGGGACGGTGTAATATAGTTGGGTCTTTCCATCCCATAAGCTAGGGAAGCTTTCAAATAGTCTTCTGGCATGTGAGGTCGGATTGGATAGATAACTCGTGGGAAAAAACACCTTTCAGGGCTACAGTTTTTTCTCAAATCATCCAAGTTTTTTTCTGGAGTAACTGGTGAAATGTTGGTCTGGAATAAATCCTTTCCTTTTGAAGGGTTGGATTCAGTTTTCAGGATTTCTTTCACACTGTGCTCTTTCTTTGGGATGCTTTTCTGATAAAGTTCGTCTTTATCAGTGCTTTGCTGCTTTGGGTTATTGTGGCCTCGTGCTGAAATACAAAGAAGAGGCAGCAATTATGTAATAAGCCAATATCAAATTTAAGTACGATTTAACTTCTACAAGCTTAACCATAAGGTCAATGTTCTTGTTGATATGCAATCTTGTAACTCATCCAAAAAGTACATTTCTTCTTTAGATAAAAGTACCTTTGGGTGTAAATATTTCATAAAAAGCAGATCAAATATACATGGTTAATCCAAGAGAGATTAGTGAGTACACACAGAGCTTGAGGTGTCTAATGATGATTCATTCTGAGAGTGTCAGTCTCCACACTTTGCACTCCTTCCACCCCTTTGAATTTAACAAGATCCACTGTCAATTACCTACATAAATTAGATTTCTAATAACTAGGATAAGTAGCATTCGTTAACAATGCAGCTTAAAGGGAAAGACTTTGGAGAGCTCAAGCTTTCCAAAACGCTCCTCTCCGGAATAACAAGGCATGACAAATCAACCTTTGCCAAACCACAACAGGCACTTCACTAGCCAGTTCAATTACATACAGTACTAAAGAAAACATGCCTGGCTAGGATGAAAGCTTTCTTCAAAAAAGAAGGTATTCTCCATTAGTAAACAGATCATTACTCATTAAACATACTGCTTGGTAACATCTACAACAAAGCCAGCTATTTAGTGCAGATTTTCTGTGGTATTCAGTATGCATAAAACTCCTCTGCTTACAGCCGTATGGTATAAAGACCATTACACTGAGGTAAGACTAAGAAAGACAAGACTGTTTGGCTCTAGCTTAAGTCAAAATGCACATTTCCCCCCAGAAATCTGCATTTCAAAACCAGTATCTCCAAGTGTGCATTTAAATGCGTTCAGATTGGGTATTTTAGGCTGTTATAATTAATTTCACATTTTTTTTTAATCCTGACACACAATATACTAATTACCACATAAAAGGACCTTAGGAAAAGGAGAATTTTGATTTTATTTTAGGAGATTCACTAAAACGATGCACTGATCATTTATAAGAGGCTTTGTTATGTGCTAAATTTACTCAGCATTAGTAATGGCACCATAGCGCTTGTGTAGACATCTGCTCCCAGACAGCTATCTGCCAGAGGGTGGGGGATAGCTCCCTGTCCCCAGGAGCTGCCTGCTTCTGGAGCAGGCTACACTACAGGAGCCTGGGCAGGGACTATGTCCCCCCTGCCCTGGCAGCAAGGAGCATAGGGGTCTCCCAGCTTGGGCCCTGAGACAGCAGAGCTGGCACTGGGAGCTCCTTGCTGGTAAGGGCAGGGGAGCCTGTTTCCGCGCCACCCCCCCCCCCCCCAAAAATTT